GAAGGAGGTGGAACAAAGGTGAGGACAATAGGGAGCCCAAAGGAACCTCGGCAGGCAAGAGAAGGCAGCCGCAGGGGCCACAGGTGGACGGGAGGATGGAGCCGGAGGGGACCACACAGGGGAGGAGGAGACAGGCTGAGGGACAAACGGGGGAAATGAGGAACAAGAAGGAGGGGGCACCGGGAGAGGGGAAGAGGAAGGCAGAGGGGACCCTGGCTAAGGTGAGAAGGAGGGGGAAGCCGCAGCAGGCGACGGGGCAGCCAGAGCCAGGGAAGGTGCCGTCTGACGCCGAGCTTCAGCGGGGGGATCCGCAGGTGGCCGATGAGCCGAGGCAGGGGGACCTGGAGGCGGCCGACGAGGCGCCGGCGGGGGACCCGCAGGCAACGGCCGGACCGGAGCCGAAGGACCCACAGGCAGCCACCGAGCCACAGCCAGGGAGTGCGAGGGCGAGCCAGGGGGCAGGGTGGGTGGGACCCGGTCCCTGCGCTTATGTCCTCTTCCCTTCCGGGACACAGATAGTCGGGGATGCAGTCGGGCTCCACCACGCTGGGGCGATGGTGAAAGAGTCCGTCCACCACCGGAGTCCCTGGGGCCCAGTAGGTAGATCCCCGAGCGGTCCCATTTGAGCTTCTCCTCTCCTTCCACTAAGGGAGGAGGAGTGATGATAACACAGTCCGGGTCCCGCTCGGAGACAGTGATTTCCAGCGTAGGCAGAGCTGGGGCCTCCGGCAAAGCAGCGGGCAGAGGCCTAGGAGCCTCGGGCGGAGCAGAGATGGGCGGAGCAGGAGGCGGTGGTGCAGCCGGGACCTCAGACAGCGGTGGAGGCCTAGGAGCTTTGGGCGCAGCTGCAGGCAGAGCCAGGACAGCGGGCGCAGCTGCAGGTGGAGCCGGGACCTCGGCCACAGGGGCCGGAGCGTCACCCGCCAAGACAGGCAGGATGGGCGGAGCCGGTGAGACAGGCAGGACGGGCGGAGCCACAGCAGGGGCCGCCTCTGGCAAAGCGGCGGGCAGCAGGGTCCGCCATGGGCGTAGCGGCGGCAGTAGGCAGGCGGGCCGCGGGCATAGCTGTGGGCGTGGGCGGAGCTGCAGCAGCAACCGCCAACTCTGGGCCAGCAGGGGGCGCTGCAGCCGGAGCCTCGCAGGGCGGCGCGGTAGCCTTGCTGGGTGGTGCGGTAGCTGCCGGGACTGGCACGTCAGGCTGGACAGGCTGGGCAGGCACATCAAGGATGGGAGCCAGGGTTGGCTTTTCACATCTTGGCATTCCCCCTTTAAGAGCCCGTGGGACCCGCGGGATAGCGTCCTGCACTGCCCTGGCCCCTTTAAGCGCCAAATGGGTTCCCCGAAAGGGGGAAGCTGCCCATGAAGGCAACTTTGCAGCGGGGGTGATGTCCGGGGCGATCAGGGACTCCCCCCGATAACTGGCAGGGAAAGAAGCTGGGGAGAGATAGGCAGCTCCCAGGAGGATTGTTGGGGCTTCCTCTGGTCTCTCTTTTGGCTTCCTTCTCTTTCTTCTCTGGCTCGCAGTTGTGGAGGGAGGTTGAGCCGTCTCCGCAGGGACGGACAGTGGTTATCTAGCCTCTGCTGCGAGCGGCGCGACCAGCCGCAGCCTCCCGTCGGTCACGCGCTGTACCAGGAGACGGAGGTTTTCATGCACCTCTGCCATGCGGTGCATGTCCTCGGGCGGTCGCCGCTCTGACTGGCCAAATCCAGCACCACCAGGTCCTCCTGGACCTCGGGCTGGTTCAGCCAGAATATCACTTCTTGCAGCAGACCGAGATGCCGGTTCTCGATCTGCTGCGGTGCTTCTACTGCGAGATCAGTCATTCTGTCATGTAACAGTATGTAACAGTGCATATGTAGGTATGAAAACACGTCAGTTCGCCCTCACGCCTTACAAGATGCGTCGGGTCCATTTGACACTACGGAGCTGAAGAAACAATTGAAAGACTGAATGTGTTGAACGAGTAACTAGTGCAGTAATGGGGGTGGTGTGCAGTTCTGCAGGTTAGGCTGTGATACCAGATAAGGTTCCTGCCACTGAGCAAGGACATTGTGCATCATTCACAGGTGACATGGAGCTGTTGTCAATTGGCAGGACACTCCAGGAACTTCCAGAAATGGCGATGTGTGCTCATGTTTGGAAGAATGATTTCACAATTGGGTCCCTATACAAGGATCTAAACCCAGATTGTTCCAGGGACTGGCTAGCCCTGCTATGTCAAATGTACGTTACTTTGGATAACAATATCTGCAGAATTAATAAATGTAATCTGGGTTACAGTTTTGCTTCAAGCAACAAAGGGAGAACAGCTGCTGCTCTGAAGGATTACTAGAATTTTGTTTCAAATAGAAAATAGTTTTCCAGTATTGATTACATTTTAATACTCAAATCACAAGGAAGGTGAGGAATCATCTGTAACAATATCCATATACAGAATGGTGTAACTTTGGATTGAACATTAGGGGGGGTCTCCGGCTATTTATTGGGTTTTGATTATCGGGGGAGGTTACAACCCCCTCCACCCCCCCCTAATTTACAGTGCCTTGCAAAAGTGTTCACCCCCCTTGGCATTTTTCATGTTTCGCAACCTGGATGGATCTGCACAAAATAGTCTAAGTTGGTGAAGTGAAATGAGAAAAAATATACATACGAAGGATAAAAAAATAAGAAACTGAAACTTGGCATGTGCGTATGTATTCACCCCCTTTGCCATGAAACCCCTAAAAAGTCCTGGTGCAACCAATTACCTTCAAAGGTCACATAATTAGTGAAATGAAGTCACCTGTGTGCAATCTAAGTGTCACATGATCTGTCAGTATAAACATACCTTTTCTGAAAGGCCCCAGAGGCTGCAACACCACTAAGCAGGAGGCATCACACCATGAAGACCAAGGAGCTCTCCAAACAAGTCAGGGACAAAGTTATAGTGAAGGACAAGTCAGGGTTGGGTTATA